GGTTTCTAGCTATAAATGTTATTGTAAAATAGAAAACAAAAATCTATATTTAAACTCTCATAGGATCCAAACCTAGCACCAAAATGAAAATAGGGAGGAGCCTGCATGTACTAACAGGACCAATGCGATACATAGATGTTAAGAAAAATACAGAATCATTATTAACACAGTATGAATTTAAGGGAGTTCAAAGACCTTATTCTTAGCAAGTGTCTTCCTCCCATCGTTAAGATTTTTGTACCACCAGAAGGAACTCTAGAATGAGACACGCTATCTGAAGAATACCATATGATAGCTGTGCAGTCTCCATAAGCAAATTAGACCTTACCTATCAAAAAGTAGAACAAATCAGGACTTCTTTGAAGTCTATGGCTTCCTTTACAGATAATGGTTTTACATATGTAAAATGATGGTTTTATATATGTAAAACCAGCATTTAGTGTAATGGCTATGTCATTGAATTCCGATGTAGTTGACTGCAGTTTGAGTCCTGGACCCAGTGGCTTAAACTCACTCTGTATGTGTGTGTATGCATGCATGGCCAAGATCCCGAGATGAGAATGGAAGAGAAGGGATTCTGGTGTGGCCATCCCCCCCCGGGGGGTGATTAAAATATCAATCATAATTATTATATTCTAAAATATTCTAGCATGTATGCTAATATACATGTGTACATTAATACATAGATACTAATACATATATATACACACACACTCACATTTCTCTACTAAACATTAAATGAGCTAAAATTTATGTAACGCTGAAGCATAGCAATCATGGATAATATTTTAATTATAACATTTAACATGATATGAAAATATGTGTGATTTTTATTGGTGAGAGCATTCAAGATTATTTTTGTCTAACTTCATTATTGAAGAAATTACTGTATTTTGTGACCAGCAGATGGTGTAATGGTTACATTGCTGGACTCCCAGGTAGTTGACTGTGATTCAAGTTCCGGACATAGCAGTTTAAAATACATGCGGAGAATGAAGGAGATGGAATTGCAGTTTGGCCATTCTTCCTAGGGGGTGATTTTTCACTTTCCATCTCTCTGTCTCTCCAATGAGCAAAGGTACCCTCTAGCAAACATCTCTCTTTCAAAAAAAATAAAATAAATAAAGGAATTACTATATTTTAATTAGAAGACAAAGAAAAAGGTTTGTTTTTGCCCATTTATAACCTCTTTGAATTCTACTACATACCAGTTTAAAAACCCTGCCTTACAAATTGGAATCCACAAGTACATCGTGATAAAGGATAAGAAAACATAGTCCACTCCCTGTGTTCCTGAAAATCAGAATGAAGTGCTTAGTTTGGGCCTTGATTACCAAATACCAGCTTAAAGTCAGTGAATCCTAAAAATAAATCTCTAGTGAGAAGAGCGAGTACAAAGAGTAAAATGCCATTAGTGCATTAATTTAACACAACAAATACTTTCTAACATTAAATATGCGCACATTGTTCTGTGAGATATACTCCTCACTAGAAAAATAAAAATATAATAAATGCAGACATCTTATCCTGAAATAACAGAAAGTCTTGTATTTTCTAGAAAGAGCATTTAAATTATACTTAGGGTTTACCACAGAACAAATTCATGTAAAAGTCTAAGTATGCTTTTATTTTTTTTTACTAGTTTCTATTCATTTAAATTGACTTTTATGAATTTTATAAGAGAAAAATTTTACAAATCATAGTCTATGAAATGAGTTCTTGCTCTCTCTTTTCTAGCTTAGTGATTAAGAGGTACAGGAAGGATTTGGGCTATGTGGTATTGATACATTTTTTTGAGAATATTCAGACTTTGGTGGAGTTAATTACTATCAAAACTGCATCTTAGGTCAACTTAATATCATGGAAAACTCAGATATTCCTTGACAAAATGATAAGAGGGTAATGTGTGTTTTGCTTTTACTTTTTGTTTTAATTGTGTATTTACTAGTTGATATTTTGTCCATATAAAATATCATTTATAGTTAAAGAAAAAAAAGTACCTATAATTTCAATAGAAATCAACTAGACAGAACCATAAAACAAAGGTCAAATTTGTATTTAGTTATACTTACTGAAAGGGAAATCAGTAGTCCTTTACTAGGGTAGAGAATCCCTAGAAATTCTGTTCTTTATATCTTAACCAAAGGAAATAATCAAATGGGTATTAGAAGTGACTATTCAGATCATACATTGTTTGTATATGGTGAAATATATATATATATATATATATACACACACACACACATATATGTATATATTCACTATGTTGTGAGCAACTTAAAATTTCACGAATCTGAAAGACTGGTCTCATAACACAGTGCTTGGCTGGATGGTTGACGATGGTTTGAATCTTGGTATGGGGATATTTATACACATGCTGGTGTTGGAGCATGTGTGCCCCAAATCCTGACATAGATAAATGAAGTTGGAAGAAAGGGTTGTACACCAAGCACAAGTTCTCTATAG